ATTATGTGTGGTTGACTTAATTAGTTACTGTAGGTGAATGCTGCCAGGTTCATATTTAACTGTATTCATTTCTACATTCCTGAAGACTTCTATATGACTATGTGTGCTCTAAAGATCCTATTTTGTTAGTTATAACATCTTATTCATTCCATCATTAACTGAGTTAAATAAAGTATTTGGTGCATATTTGCTTTATATTTGTATAACACTTATGATTCTATCTTTTCATAAAAATATTCTTTGTCAAGTTTTCAAGGGCCAGTGAACTCTATTCTTTTTTTTAAATTACAAACCCATAGGTAACAAAACTCTCCACAAAATTAGAAATGTTCTGACCTGCTTAACAGATTCTTATCAAGTACTTCTGTCTTTGATGCTCAAAAAAGTCCTAAATATAATGAGATGATGTGTTAATATACTTCGGAAGCTGCAGATCTGGCGTGTTGTTCCATACAGAGTCTAGGACAAGGTGGAAGAGACTATGGGGAACTCTGGCTCACAGTGCTGCTGGGGCATTCATCAGAGTGTCTCTCAAAGAACAGAAGGCTCTTAAACTTGATGAGAAACTAGGCTAAAGGTAAAAAGCTCGAGTAATCATTACACGGGTTCATTTGGATTGTAAGGAGAATGTCTTGCTCCCTCTTTTCCTAGTCCGATACTGCCCTGTACATCTCCTTACCTTACTTGTTTGTCTTGTACTTGCCCTTGAGTACAAAGATAAATATTTTAGAGATCATGAAACTAATAATGTAATAGTAGATGCCATTTTTTGGAAAGCTACTATTTATAGACACTTGGTGATTATTACTAGACTGATTCCTCACAGCAACTCTATCTGGAAAGGATCATTACCTATATTCTATGCATGAGAAAACCAGTGCTGGAAGAGGGCAGATAACTGGGTCAGAATGATCCATCTGCTAAGTGCCAGAGGTGGCGAGTGGCTTAGCCATTATGCAACACAGATCTGTAAAGCTGGGCTCTGGAGTTCTGCTGTTTTGTTCTGTGTCCCGATTCCATCTTTAAGCTTCTTCCAAGATCATAGGCATTTAAGAGATGAACAAGAAAAGAGGATCAGAGAAGACAGAAATAGACAGGTCTGAAATACTGGGGAGAGGAAAACCACGAAAGTGTGTGGTCACAGGGGGAAGAGGGGAGAGAATTCCAGGAGGAATGGAATGATCAGCTGTGGCAAGTGCACAGGACGCCAGCTAATGCGACTAAAACGAGTTTGTATGGAGCAGTTATGAGGTGGTCATTGACAAACTTCCCAGGAAAGTTTTACAAAGTGCAGGCAGAAATCAGGTAACAGTCTGTTGAAGATAAAATGTGAGAATACAGAAGGAACCAACTGAAGACAAAGGAGAGGGAGGAAATGCTGATGAAATCCCCTAACAGACCTTTGACAAGTAGCAAAGGTCATCAAAGATCATCGTGCATGAGCTTTGGAGATTAGAAGGGAGAATACCCGTCAAGCTTCAATTTTTCTGTGAAAACAGGAGACAAGGGTGACATCTGAGAAAGAGAATAGGATGTAAGCGCCACCTGGTCAGCAAAGGACAACTGGACAGTTTGCCCATGGTTTTGACTTGCCATCGTGAGGGTTGCCAGTGAATATTTGTGATGAACATAGGAACAGTTGGCCAGAGAGGACAGCAGGCCAGCTGGGCCCGGGCCTCTGCAACAGTGACTGTCTGCATGGTGGTGTGGTTTCTCCAGTAGGACTTAGGGTCCTAAAATACTGGTCTGTGTGAGCGTCGGTGTTTAGTAGAAGTAGGTGAGGTATAGGAAGAAGAGCAATGCAATGCAGCAAAAGTGACTAAGGTAAAGAAGGAGGAGGAGGAGGGGAGCGTGCACCAGCCACATGCTGTTCAGAACAACAGCCTGGTTGGGGTCCTGAGATGGACAGACAAGAGGAGAAGCAAGTCATGATGGCTTCTGCAGGAGAAAGAACCAATTCGACCTCAAGGGCAAGGTGAGTGTGCAAAAGACAGGGCTGATGGAGCGGGGGAAAAATTCTCCTGCATGTCAACCCTGAAGATATTAAGGTGAATAAATTATTAAACACTAATTTTTCATCCTAGCAGAAGCCATTTTAAACAGACTTCTCTTCCAGCCATTTCAGAAATAGCATTAGTGTCTGGAGAACTTACTAAAAAGAAGTGGTCTGTAGAAGTTTCTTATTATTTTTTTATATTTAGATTATTGTCGTTTTAGTCTGTCTGTGGTTTGTTTAGTGGCAATGCAGGTTATCGATCCCCCCCTCCCCATCACGTACAAAAACCTGTGGTAGAAAGCTTGTCTAAACAATTCTTGGGAGTGTTGTCTTCACAGAATCTAATTGACAGTATGAAAGGGGAGTGAGAAACTATCATGCAAATCATAATTAATGTTTAAACTTGGAGATCATAATCTATTTCATTTCTGGACTCGATTGAGGGTAAGCCATGCAGGCTAAACAACTCACTTCCAGTCGTATCTCCACTTCTCATAGATTCTCAGCTGTTAATAGATGGCAGGTAAGAAGGGGGAGGGGAGTTAGTTCATTTAGTTAATTTTGGTAACTAAGTAAAATTAATTCATTACAAGTTGTTACGTTTTTGTGTGTTTGACACATTTTAACCCAGTGGTACTAAATCTATTTGTTTAAAAAAATCACAAAACCTCAGCTATGGACTCAGTATTAGCTGATTTTCTATGTCAATAGAGATAGAGAGCCTGTAAGTCAAACAAAATCTTGAACTTAATATGTGCTGAAACCAGTAAAAAAAATGAGACGTTAGACTGGTTTGCTCGAACCAGCTTAAATTCTCTCATCTTTGAGGAAATAGTAAGTTAAAGCATCTGCTTGGAAAACTTGCGAGATAATTTGGGAGGAGAGAAGGATGGAGGGCTGAGAAGAAGTGTTAATGACGGACCCTCTGAGACAGACTTGGCAGTGGTGCTTGGCAAATCAGTGTGAGTCATAGGCTAATGTATGTACCCAAGTCTGTTAAGTGCTTTCCTCTGTGTGAGGCTCAGCATTTTCCTTTCCACTTTCCTCTCCGGAAATGCCATTAGTGGGCTAATGCACCTTGCTGCAGGAGGCAAGGGGGACTGCAGGGACCTGAGGTATGGTAATGCCTTTGATCGCTGCGCAGATAAATTGTCTATGTCCTTGTCTGAAGTAAATCGGCCTAACCTGAAAAAGGTAAACTTTTGCTAACTATGACTTTCCAACTTTCATCTTCATGTTTTGAATATAGTAATATTGATTTTATCACTTGCTTACTCTTTCAACTCCACCCCCAAAAGAAACAAATATGAAACAAATGCAGGGAACCAAATCAGAGCTGAAGGAAGTTAGAGGGGATTTAAGAGCCTTTTCACTAGTTACTCATGTCTAACTATGTTACTCATGTTTAAATTTAATAATAGTTTTAAATAAAAATATTTTACACGGGGCGTTCTTTTTCTTAACCTTTTCTTTTCTCATCAGTCTTCAGTCTGTGTGCATGGTAACCGCCTAGGCTGAACTCTGCTGTAGGTCAGAACTGCCTCAACAAATTTGGATTTCATCATGTTCTGCTTTTCTCGTCATTACTCTTCCTGGCAGTCTGTTTTGTACAAGTATTCTATAAACATAAATATCTTAACACTACTTTTGAATTAGTGTATTTGAACATTAACCTGCCCCTCATTTTTTTCTGGGACAACCTGTATGTTCTGGGAAGCTATAATTTAAGAAAAGATTTCTCCAAGTTCACTTTTTAGCCGTTCTCTGTGCAGCTGCCGCAGTGGCTAGCTGTCTGCTGTTGGCCCTGATGCGAACACCCAGGCCACCTGCTGGGAGGGGGGGGTCTGTGTGTGGGTGGGTGGGGGACCACAAAAATGAATTTAGAGCCCCAGGATGCATATTTCTCATTTCCTCCCACGTCATCTGCATTTTTCCAGGCTTCCAGGTACAGAGCTTCAGGAAAGCAGAACCCAGGAGCTACTGGAAAAGCTCTCATTCTCCTCAACCCCCTCCCTGGGTCAGCAGCGCGCTGTTCTCTGGAATTAAGCTGTGTTGTGTGGCTGTGCTATCCAGAAGGATGCATACTTCCCCAGACAAGGCTTTCTTAAAAGGGGTCAAGAATTCCCTCACATTTTAAAGTGCTGGCAAACAGGTACTGTTGTGCAGAATGCCCGGAATTTACTGATAATAAATAAGTGCAGGTGAAGGGTTAGAGTGATTTTCAAAAGACAAATATAATTTTGTAGGTCTCATTTTATCACCACATCTTCAGTGTTTCAAAATCTTTTGCTCTCTTCCAAAAGAGTTCTGGTGTTTAGTAACATATTGATACCAAGATGCTTTCTACATAAAAACATACTGGAAGTAGAACTGAAAGAAAATTACAAGCCAAGACAGAGGCCAGTCCTCAGTGTTCTCTGTTATTCTTGCAGCCATTGATGACATCGCCCAACCTGAAGCTGCTTGGAGCTTGCATTCGGCAGCTTGGTCTAAATGTAGGATGTTACCGGTTATAACAGGGAAACTGAGCACAATGCCGAGTGCTCAGGTCCTGGTATATATACCACAGCAGGAAGGACTACACTTAGACGATTCCATGAAAATGTGTGTGTCTCTAATCACGATAAATCCAGATTCATGTGCCAGCAAACATTTGCCACTACAATTGTTAAATTTCATTTCCATCATCCTTTTCATGAAAGCAGAAATCAACTTATTATTATCACGGCTTCTATTGCCTTTTGAAAACCATTTCTGTGATGAAAGATGACAAAAGCGATGGAACAGCCCACCTCTCTGCAAGAAGCTAGTCCCAGTGCCTAAGGGGAAACGTTCACTAACTGGTTTATTATGAAAATCAGTCTTTGTTCAGAGAAGGAGGTGAACAAGCAGGGACTTTTACCCAGATGAGTAAATCAAGTCTTTAGCAACCCAAGGAACAAAGTTACAAGGAAGGCTCACTTCCTCATTAGGACCATATTAGGGCAACACTACAGAAAATAAATCATTTTCCCTGGTCATGGTGCTTTGGAGACATTTAATCAACTATCCAAATCATAGCTTTCCATCCCCGACCTGGATGTATAAGTAAGTTTTATCAACAGTAATGTATTGTAAACTGGACTAAACCTTTTCTCCTGAAGATGATTAGGGTAAGAGCTGCTTTTTATCTATTTGTGTTCTGTTATTTGAAACGAAACTGGGCTTTAGTTAGTCCCTCAGACCTAAAATATGACTATGGGGAATGAAAGGCTCTAGTACTCATCCCATGTAATTTTAAATTTTGTATTAATGTTGATGGAGATAAAAGGAGAAGAAAATTTGCACTCATGCTGAACTTACACAGAAGAACGTGTAAATAACCTCTTGGACACGTTTGCTTGGGACAGAAAGCAGTCGTTTTTAAGCAATGACTCATATGTTACTAACCATAATTGCAATTAATTTAGTGAAGTATTTTTCTTTAAATAAAGTATGCATTTTCAGCTTTTAAGTGTGTTTAACAAAAAAGAAGGAAGGAATCTAAATTAAGAAATAATTCTATCAGTTTTCTTAATCAAAATAAAGCTATCAGTGTTTCTCTCCATTGTAATCCATTTCAAATATATTTTCTTCTACTACAATGCAAGTTCTATAAGTTCAAAGGGGATTGGTATAAAGGAAAATGAAGTCAACATGACTTGAAAGATCAGAAGGTTGTTATGTGATTCCCCGTGTCTTAATGCTTTGTGCTGTAACAATAGCCAGATGCAAATTATACTAGAAAAACTGAATTCAGCAAACTATGGAAGAATGCAGTATGGTGTCCATTCATTCCATCTTCCCTTGAGGTTGATCATGGGCAAAAGAAACAAGGACAAGCTAATGATCTTAACACAGCAATCCACACCTTTGCTATCATATGTGCAATGCCTGGATCTGCTTATCCACCTACCACTGCTGGTGGTGACGTGCTTGTCTCCACGGTTCAGCAGCCTTTCCTTTACCCGCTTCCATAAGTCTACCTTCATTTGTATTGGAAGATAACATCCTAAAATTGCAATAGTATTTATTTATTATTATTTTAACTTAAAAATTGTGATAAGTTGTTTTTAAGTAAGATTTATTATTGTTGTTAGTTCTCCGGCTACAGTGTCAAAGGTTTTCAGGGGTCCATTTTAGTTCTGCTTTTCCCTCATAAGCTCTGTAACTTTGTGTGCAATGGAGTCTATTGCAAGCTTTTCAGGAATGCACATATGTGCTTCCACAGATGCTAATACATCTAAAAGCACACTTTCATCAAATCAAAATAATGTTTTGATAATGTTGTATTTAAAGGCTCTTACAATCTCCACACTGTATGAGGAGTCTTTTGAAAGTCAAAAATAGATTTACCTTTCTGATGTAAAATAGCCAGCAACCTTGATTTCTAATTTTGGTGATATATTAATAAAAAGAAATAAAGTTAATTGAGAAATTACCGTTAATTGAGAGGCAGTACAGTGTGGCATGAGAAGGTAGGTCCTGAATCCACGCCACCTCGTTCAGATGTCGGCTCTGCCGAAACTACATACAAAACTTGGGCGGATCACTTAACCACTCAGTGGCTGTTTCCTTATTTGTAAAAAAAAGTATAATAGTGCTTACCTCATAGGGGTGTCATGAGATTAAATGTGTTCAAGTATTTGGTACTTAATAATAGATCCAAAGTATTATTGCTGCTTTAAAATACAATTAACTGATCAATTCGCCACATAATTATTTTTTTCTTTTTTCTTTTTTAAAATTTACTTATTCAATTGTTTTTTATATATTTTATTAATTATACCATTACAGTTGTTCTATTTCCCCCCTTCATTCCCCTCCACCCTGCACACCCCTCCCCCACCATCCCCCCTTTAGTTCATGACCACGTGTCTCAAGTTCTTTAGATTCTATATTTCCCATACTATTCTTGCCCTCTCCCCTATCTATTTTCTACCTACCATCTATGCTACTTATTTTCTGTACCTTATCCCCCCTTCTCCTTCTCCCACTCCCCTGTTGCTAACACTCCATGTGATCTTCATTTCTATGGTTCTGCTCCTGATCTAGCTGTCCTCTTACTTTGCTTTTGTTTTAGGTGTGGTTCTTAATAACTGTGAGTTTGCTGTCCTTTCACTGTTCATCTTTCTTATCTTCTTTTTCTCAGGTAAGTCCCTTTAACATTTCATATAATAAGGGCTTGGTGATGATGAACTCCTTGAATTTGATCTTATCTGAGAAGCACTTTATCTGCCCTTCCATTCTAAATAAAAGCTTTGCTGGAGAGAGTAATCTTGGTTGTAGGTCTTTGGATTTCATGACTTGGAATACTTCTTTCCAGCCCCTTCTTGCCTGTAAGGTCTCTTTTGAGAAATCAGCTGACATCTAAATTAGTCCCATATATCTGTTTTACCTTCAGTGCTTAAAACATAATAAAGATTCAATCAATGCTGGCTGAGCTGGGTTTAATTCTTTGATCACTTTATTTTTTGTTTTTCTTGGACTCGAAGTTTTGTTTGAGGATTTGTTCTTCCAAAGATGATTTGTTCTTGGTCCATCTACACTATGGTCCGAACTATACTAACTCTTTAATTAGTTTTAGAATTTGTTATCACTAAAAAAAGAGCAACAAGTAAGTGTTAGATGGTGAAATAAAAGATACAAAAGTGCTGAAAAATCTAAAAGGAAATAATAGTAAGATTTTTGAGTGTAGAACTTTTAGTTCCAAAGACAAAACAGGCTGAACTTTTATCAGTAGCGCAAATGTGAAAGTCAACAAATACTTTGTGAAACATTTTGTTGAATACTGAGGAATCAAAAAAAATCCTATGTGCTTTTGATATTATTAATGGAAATATATATAGTCACTCCGAATGGCCTCATCTATAGAAAAGAAGTTGTTACATTCAAATTCCTCTCAGACCGTGAAAATCTAGAACTTAAGGTCTATAAATAGAGCCTTTATTTTTATGCTTTGAAATTCACCAGCCTTCTCAATTGTCAGACATTTGTTTCATTTTGTTTGTTAGTTTTTCTTACTCATCAAAGAGTAAAGGACTGTATGGATTTGGAACAAAGTAGATTTTTGGTAACATTCAAGCAAATGGTCATGAGTATAGACTTCATTACAAAGCTTTGTAAAGGGAATTGACAATGTGTTCTAGATGAGACATCATAATAGTTAAGTTCTCTGTGGAACAGTAAAATACAGTATCTGACACAATGTCCCTTTTTTATTACAAAATCTTTTATTATAAAATCATAAGCATGTAATTCTATAACATAACAATATCACACTCAAATATACCATATGACATTTTCGGTGAAATGTTCAAATTAAAACTAAATTATTACACCCATATTATTACCCTACCAGCCACATTCAAGCAGGCCTTACCTTTGCCAGGTCCTGCATATTTATTCCTATTCATCATGAAATGGAATCGTCTTTGTACTTCGTGTTAAGGAAAGAATTATAAATTAATTCTTAAGTATTCATAACATTTAAGTAGATCATTTTCCTTAAACTGTAGTGTCTCCAAGTACATTTTCCAATTGTTTATGGCTTCTGCTCTGACCTTTTCTAGAGAGGGGTGTCCTTTACTGGTTGAAAGTCTCACCCCCTCATGCTGGCTGTTCCAGATATTCTCACCTGGACTGATTATTTAGCTAGAGCCTGAGCAAGGACTGAATACACCCTTGCTTTTCGGATGACATTCCTTCTTGATTGGTTTTTCTTTCCCCAGCCCACTAAGCTCAGTTTCTGAGATCTGAGCCTTCTGCTTATAAGTCATTAGAACCGAATGGATGTTACTTAGTGTGGTTTAGTCCCCTCTCTTCTTCACAGCAACGCTGGGAGGTGGGTGGTATTGGTGGTGTGCACACCTTTACAAGTAGAGATGATAATGGCCTGGTTAGAGATGAGGCCTGTTACTTGTGGGGTAATGTGTTAGGCACCTTTACCCAATACGCTACACATATGAATTTTATGACATGGTCTGTCTCTTTACAGGTGAAGATACTAGGGCCTATGAGGACACTTTTGTAGTCACCAAGGTGGATAGAAGCAGAGACAGGTAACCCCTGTTATGTCCCACAACCGCACTCTCTCTTTTCCAAAAAACCAGTTACACAATCAGATACACTGAAACACTCAGTTCTTTACTGCTTGAGACAAACTGCAAGCCAACAACTCTTACTTCCTCCCTGAAACATTTAATTTGACATCTGGGTACAACCTGTGTCTCTTCTGTCTTAACTTTGAAATCTGCTCTCCCCTTCACTCCAGATTTTATAGTTCATTTTAATGGGGTTCCCAGCAGCCCACGTTTTCCTGTTTAAATTTTTCTTCTGACAAGTAATAGTGTATGACTGTAATAACAGGTATTAGTTTTGACAACTGCACTGAAATAATTTTCATGACAAAATTACTTCCAAATTATTTTTTGGTAGTACGTGGATCTGCAGCTTAGTATTGTATAATTTGTAGATGAAATTGGCTTAGTCTGTCTGTGATTCCACAAAAAGGAGAATGGGAGAGTTAAGAAAAAAAGATCAAGTTCATTAATTCAAAGAGAATATATTAGTGTGGCCAGGGTAACTTTTTCCCCCTTCACAAAATAGCACTTTTAACCATGTTACTCCCCAATTCAAAACTGTGAATAATACCCCTGATCATTTAAAGTGCAAACTATTCATACTGTCTTTAGGTTCACGGTGTACTTCTGCAGGTACCTCTCCCGTAGCTTCTCTGAGCAACTTTCTGCACAACCTGCGGAGCACAGCCTACTGAGCACAGCTTGTGCATTTTCCCTTCTTTCATTTCATGCTCTGTTTTCTTCATCCCAATACTCCACCCTCCTCTCTGACTATGCACACCATACTCTTCCTCCAAATCTCACCTGTGCAGGAAGAGCCTTCCCTGCCTTTTCTCCCCTCTGAATCCTTACATGCTTAGTGTAGCTAGCACTCGCATGACATTAGAAATTATTAGTCAATTCTGTTATTTCACCCAAAGCGAAAATAAAAATTGGAGAAGATTAGTGAGGCAAGATGACACCTCTCTGATTGAGCTCACTGAGGACAGAGCTCAGGCTAAGTGAGGGAGCGGCACGGCCTGCCTGCATGGAGGGGGGCGGGGGGACACGGTGCCAGGAGCTGCTGGGGTGCACTGAGACCATGATGTTTCTGAAAAGTGAGTTACATCCTTTTGGAACTAGACATGCTTTACTTAGAGTTACAATAGAAGAATAGAAGGTATTAGCTCTAGATACAGCTCTCAAGAGCATTTTGCAGATTTTAAGAAAATACTTTGTATAAATACTAAGAAAACATTTCAATGGTCTATTTGTCAAAAAGTTCACTTCTCTGCCCATCCTTAAAAATGTTCATAGGAGCTAATGTGATGAGTAATTTTATGTGCTAAATTGGCTGGGCCAGGGTCCCCAAGATATTATTAGGTTAAATGCAAGTGGATGTTGCTTTGGAGGTAATTGTATGCAAGATTATCAGTTAAATTAGTAGACTCTGGATAAAGCAGACAACTTTCCATAATGTGGATGGGCTTCATCCACTCAGTTAAAGGCTTTCATAGAAGAAGACTGGACTCCCCTGAGGAAGAGATAATTCAGGCTTTGGACTTGAACTGCAGTATCAACTCTTCCCTGGATCTCCAGCCTGCCAGTTTACCCTGAAGATTTCAGACTTGCCACTCTTCTCAGCTGCAGTAAGCCAATTACTTAAATTCCTCCCTTGCTCTTCCCTCTCCCATTCTCTGGAGATCTGTGACTAATATGGCTAAGCTCTCTTTCAGCTCTATCTGCCAATGACTCATGTACAAAATGGAATTTGTTCTTCAAATCTGTGGTTCGACCTTGTTTGTACACAAACCTTTGTCTGCATTTATTATTTGCCCTTAGTTTGTATTCACGAAATGGAACCACTGCATCGAGAGATATGAACATTTTCAAACTCCTATAAACTTATTTGGATTGTATAAAGTAGAATGGGGTTTTGTGGCATGGCCCCTGCACTTATAATTTTTCAGTCTGGACAGCATAAAAGACATAATTATAGAATGGTTGCGATTTGCTTAGTCTCACTTCCTGTACTTTCCTTTCTTCTCCATGAGGTTCCCCCACAACGTTTCATTCTATGTCTTCACAGATACGCCAGCAACAGAGCTGGTCTGTGGGTATCAGTTTTCTCCATAGACCTTAATCTTCTTGCTTGCTGTGGAAAAGAAACCACTGCTGAAAGGCACTCATATAAGGAATTAGTAGCTCCTAAAATACTGTTGAACCTAAAAGACATTTTCCAGCTACATCTGTAAAATGGTATACCTTTGCAAGAAGTTTAATTCAGTCTTCCTAAACACTTTATTTTCATTTTTACTGGTCACTGACCCGAATGAACTCATATTTATCGAGGACTTCATGGCATGTTTGTCTCTGAGTCCCCATTATTTAGGGCTTGAACTTATTCAGCCTTAATTTATTCAGCAAATGCTTAGTTTATTTGCCAGGCACTGTTCAGGTCCTGAAGATATGGGGGAACAAAATAGACTTTGTCTGTTCTGAGGAGCATAATTCTCTTCGGAAGAGGAGACTATCACTACCAAAGGCACAGGCTTTTCAAAACTTAAGTCTAAAAATAAGAAAATATATGGAAATACATAGAATATTTGGCATTACAAAGTAGGAGAGGGTCACAGCCTGTTTTTGTTTTCTTATCTGTTCTTAGTTATGGGGACTATGGGAAGATTCGTATGTGTGATCTTGTGACAAATGGCCATTGGAGGACCCTTGGGTCTCCTACTGTTCTTCCTGTGGCTCCCCACACTGGTCATGCTAGAAGGCTTGCCCTAAGGAAGCCACCAGCAAGCACTTTAGACACAAAGCTTTCAAGAAAGGTACTTTCAAAGAAAGTACATTTTGATAGAGTTGGTTTAAATCACAAAACTCAATTTTGTTCACTATGAAAACTTTAGGAAGTAGAGAATCAAAAAGAAAGAACAATGGACAGTTTAAACTCAATTGAGAGAGAACCTCTATTGGTAATGCTTTAATATATTAAAGTATGAGGGGAGGGGGTAACAAGGGGGGAAGAGGAGAAGGATAATCAAAGAACATATATAAAGGACACATAGACAAAACCAGAGTGGGAGGTGGGGGTGGGTGGGGCAGTGGGGAGTTGTGGGGGGGGGGGGGGGAATGTAGACAACTGTACTTGAATGACAATAAAAAATTTAAACAAATATATTAAAATATGTAATGTAAATACAATATGTACATATAAATGTAGCTACTTAAAAAATCAGGCTCACGTTGCACATAGTATTTTTAGCCTCAATTTTTACTTAAAATTATGTTGTAGAATCTTTTTCTGTCTTGAAATATTTTATAGAATGACTGTAAGAGTGTCCTCATGTGTCGAACCAATGTATTATTGTGGGTATTTATGCTCTCTTCATTTGTTTATCTCATCTCAGCATCTCTGCTCATTTCCTTAAGATAAATTCATAGATGTATAATCGTTGGGTCAAAACAAATGCACGTTGTTATCTTTCTTGATGCTAATAGCCAAATTGTACCAATTTACTGGCCTGCCAGCAACGAATGCAAACACCAGAGAGGTTACATTAAAAAAAAAAAAACAAATGCAAACCGAAGGCCAACAGGTAAGACGCACAAGCAAGTCACGTCAGGGCGACTCCCTGGGCCTCCTGCTGCTGGAGGAGTGTGTCCCTGCGCAGGTCAGAAGTGGCCTGTCCACGGCCTTTAGGTCCCTGTTCTGCTGAAGCAGACTGGTTGTGTGACGGGCTCTGAGTGGTACTTTACCAGCAAGATTTAGGTATTCTTCCAGTTCTGTCCAAATGTTTACTCGATAAGCCAAATCTTGGCTCAAAGCTGCCAAAGTCCGAGGCTTTTCCCCTGTGTTACTCCTACACAGAGCTTAGAGAACTCTCTTACTTCTAGTTCCTCTTTTGTTCCAGGTTGTGGAGAAGTGATGGTTTCCTCTTCTCTACTCTCATGGCGCCTCTGGAATCCTCCTGGAAGGAACACATCATTTCCTTACTCAAAACACTCTAAGGGTTCCCAGTGCTATTTAAAATAAAATAAAAGTCTTCCTTATGAAAAACATTCCCCACCATGACCTTTCTGACTCTTACATAGTGTCTCCCAGCCCCACAGACCCCCTTTCTGCCCCCATGAACTTTTTATTCTTATTCTGACCTCAGGGCCTTTGGACTTGGCAGTCTTTATCCCTCTTTTCTCGTATTTGCACCTCTAGGTTGCATTCATTCTGATATAAGTGTCTAAAAACAGTGCCACTGTATCAGTATCATTGCACTCTGCTCTTTTTCTCCTTAGCATTTAGTATTAGTAGAATTACATCATCCATTCACTTGTTTATTTTTTCTTTATATTTTCTGTCTCCTATTGCTGACCATAAACTTCACAAGGGCAGGATCTCCTGTGGCTTGTTCATTGCTATATCCCTCTACGCTTGAAACAATGCTGAGTTAATAAACACATGTTGAATGAGTGAAAGAAAGAAATACCATATTTTGCGGTGTATAACACTTACCTATGGTTTTGTGTGAATTATACGGGGGATTATTATACCCATGGTACATAATCATTATACCCATGTATAATATGCATCCTTATTTCTCTCTCAAATTTGGACAAAAAAGTGCATCCAAGGTGAGGTGAAAAGTTTGAGAAGAAAGATAGTGAGAAGAAAATATGAGGACTTGAGAGGAAATGATAAAAAAAACAAGAAACCAGAGTTTTGCATGTTATCCCTCATCTGTCAGACCAAGTTCATGTCGACTTCGTATTTGATTTACAATGTGCCACTCATTTAGAATAGGGTTCAAAAATCTGACTTCCCTCCAGTTGTGGCTGCATTAGAAACTGGAGAATGCATAATAGCCTTATTATTAAGAAGTGAAGAAATAAAGAGGAAGCCAAAATTATGCTTATGCATTTTTAAGAAAATCACTTTTGTGTGTGATTTGAGAAACGCAAATTTAGGACAGATTTGGATAAGGTGATTACTAACCAAAGGTTGGGTTGTGTTTAAAAACAAAATAGGAATAAGGACTTTGGGAATTGGAGAGATTAGGGAGAAAATGGACAAGGACGCATTTAGCTGCTCTCCACTAGCAGCGTGAATACGGAAACGGCCAAATGAGAACAGTGTCTGAAAGGAAATGATGGTCTTATCCTAGGAGCCAAAAAGATTTCATTTTTGTTTTCCCCAGAATTATCATCAGCAGCTATGATGGATGATGAAGGACCACTTAACATTCTCCCCGAGGAATAATTGCCAACCTCCTTTTTGGCCCAAGCTCACATGGACTAACATGACAAAGACATAATTTTGCCCTAATTCTTGAAAGAACAGGAAAACACTGATGTAATCCATTTGTTTAATTCTAGAAAATCTTTCCCCAAAGCCTGTTTTTGCACTGCCAAACTGGGAAGGGATGTCTGGGGGAGTAATTAAAGGCTTTAAATGTACAAGGAAGAGAAATTCTTATTGCATTCTGGGGACTCAGTGAGAATAATGGGAACCAAGGGAAATTTATTTAGATGGTAAGCAAAAGTCAGTAGAAAAATATCTGACAATGTTGTAAAGATACTTAACATTGGTGCCATTGAGGGCCAGTCCAGTTTATCTTCCCACAGTCTATGCTAAGCAAATTAGTATTTTAAACAAGATTGCCAGGGGCAGAGTAATGTCTGCACGAGAGAACAGACTTGGGTTGTTTCCTGTTGATCACAGATTGGTGTAGATAACGCATTAAAGCCCTTGCCTTAGAACGTCTACATTTAGAGCAGTTAGATAGAGGTGCTGTTATGACCTAAATGTAAGCTGCGTATTTTAAAATGATTATTCTCGAATGCCGATTGGAAGGGATATGTGTGAAAATTCTGCAGGTAGTTTCAGCTGGACAAAGTCAAAACTAAGTGGTTATTTGTTTTTGCTCGTACTTCACTGCTTGATTGTTTCCCCATTTTCTTTACTGGTCCTTTCTCTTCTTTATAGTCCATGCACTTTGTCTGATTCAGAGACTGTCTCTCAGCCTTCTTACCTCTGAGCTGAACTCACTCAGATCCATGCCTTTAATGTTGTATATACTCTGACTTCCAAATTTATAGCCACAGTGCCTACCCAAAGCAAGTTTCGGATGTAAACATCAAACTGCATCCTCAACATCTCCATGTTGCTATATCTAATCTTTCCAACCAAATAGATACCTCAAGAGTTACCTATTTAGAGAACTCTTGAGTGGAATCTTGATGAGGTTAGGGACCTTGTTTAAAGGTGCCATATATGTAGTAAAAACATGCTAAATATTGTATTTGTTGGATGAGTTCATAAGTGATTGCCCTATCTGTCCCAGTTCTGCATTTTCCTTATAAATATTTTTATTGTAGTTCAGTGTCTGGTCACACACACCCTTCTGGCCAAGCTAGAAAACCCAGAGACATTTCAAATTTTTCTTGTATCTTAACTTTCTACATCAAATCAGTCATTAAATCTTCTTAATTCTGTAAGAGAAAATGACATGTAATCCATTTCTTCCTGTTACTACTATCATTGCATTTTCTTGTCTTCTCAACAAAAGTACATATTTTCTCTTATGGTTTGAATTTTTTTCTCCCACCCCAGTTTCTACATTTAAGCCCCAACCCCTGTAATCTCAGTATGTGACTGTATTTGGAGACAGAGCTTTTAAAGAGGTGATCAATTAAAATGAGGTGGTCAGGGTGGGCCCTAGTCCAGTCTTCCAGGTGTCCTTATAAAAAGGGAATATTGGACACGTGAAGCAACACCAGGCCTGCATGTGCACAGCGGGGAGGCCATCTGAGGACAGCCAGCAGAGGACCATCTACAAGCCATGGGGAGAGGGCACAGAAGAAACCAAGCCTTCTGGCACCTTCCTCTCGAACTTCCAGCCTCCCAAATTCTGAGAAATAAATTTATGTTGGTCAAGCCACCAAATCTATGGTATTTTGTTGGAGTATCCCCAGCAGACGAGTACATCTTTCCTAAAAAGCTCCTCAAGACAATATATTCTCCCTTTCTCATGATATATATATATATATATATATATATATATATATATATATATATATAATGAGTGTTATAACAATGACAGATATATTATATATATAGTATATATAATCTCTACTTAGGTTACATTACAGTAAGAAAGGAAATGACAGGAAAAAAATAAAAATGATCAATAGGTATTTGAAGGATGAAACAGGGTCTCATCCATTTTCCTCTCTACTCTCGATGCCTCCATAAGTGCTTTTTCATTAGTGAAGTGGCAGCTATAAATGAGCATGTTACTCCAGTGCTTCAGAAATGCCTAGTTTCTTATTATCTGATTTAAGTTCAAATGGCTTAGCACCGCATACAAAACTCTTTACATTTTGCTTTTCCCCCACTTGTCTTTCCACATCCATCTACATGCTCTAGAAAGAGAACAGAGCAAGAAGCAGAAAACCAGACAGAGATATGGATGAGTGATGAAGACAGGCCATGTGGGCCCATTGACTTCCCAGTTTCAGGTCCCACAAGCCACTTGACTGGCCCTGGTACGAGCATTTCACACACCAGATCACAATTATGCATCTCGAAGCATGGAGAGCTCCTGTAAGTCCCTCAGGGTCTCACAGCGAGTGAGCAGCTGAGTGAGACTGGATGCCACGCTGTCCTGCTGTGCTCCTCTGCCCTTTGTACTCCATCTTTCCAATTCACTTCAGCCGTTGCTCTTTGTTTGATAAAACATGTTTTGCTTTTTTATTAAGGTAACTCAAATTTGTTTCTATTACTGACAATAAAATACAAAAACTTTAAATAGCCTAGCTTAAATGTCACATTCCCTAGGAGGAACATAAAAGGTAAAGTTATATAACCTCCCCCTCTTTGTAAACAAGAGATAACCCATTTTTGTTTACCTCTTAATAACCCTTACCGAATCATGATGTAATTGCTTACTTACAGGTTTGTCTCCAACTATCCAACTTGTGAAGCACATAGTAAAACTAAGATAATTAATAATTATTTTATTACATATCATGTGAACATCTCTAAAAGAATTAGCATACACCCAGCATAGGAACTGACATATAAGAGGTTCATAACACACACTACTGATGAATGGTTGACTCCTGTAATTAATTAAACACATTGGGGATCCCATATTAATTGTGATAATAAGTAAAGAATGAAGAGATTGCAGGAGGGAAAAAATAGAACAAAAATCAAACTGGGAATTTTTAAGAGCTCTGATTAAAGCAATAGAGAATGTTGTTTTCTGCCTAGAAAAACAAAGCTCCAATTCTGATAGATTCTTGGACTGGTTTAAAAGGTCTGACATTGAGATTCCAGGACCTGGAAACCTTTGATTGAATCTGTCTGTCTGTCTCTCTCTCATTTTCCCCTTATAGTTTATCTATAATGTTCTTAAAGACAAATGGAATTTTTTAAAGTCTAGGTGGAAATATAGGGTCTTAGTGTTCTTGCAAATCTATGAGATGAATTATTGACCCACTTAAACATCTGTTCATTTCAATTTTGTCATTAGAATACAGGTTTACGAAACTTGGCCTGGGTTTGAGAATTCCTGAAACTCTGAATATTTGAAACAGAAAGGTCTAATGCAGTTTGTAAAGTACAATTTTCAGTTGCAAAAATCTACAGCTTTATAGATTAATAGGAAGGACTATTCTTGTATGAGTAGATAGAAAAATGGAAAGAGGAAGAACTGGTTCCTAAAGCTGGTAAAATTTTATGTTATCAGCATTTTTAATTGAATAAAACAAACAAAAAATCACCACACTTTTTCTTTCTACTTTGTGACCCTTGTAAGTATTAATTTTTAAGAGGAGAAGTGGGTTTGGATGCTGAATAAAAGAAATATAATTTGATGATTTCTGTCCCTTCTTTGTTTCACTATATACATAAATATCTAATTCCCATAGTAAAAATATGAGCAAGGCAGATATATGAATCATCAGTACTTTAAAGCAGAGCTTCTTATGATAAGAATACATCACATCTCTATTCTTATAGCTCAGTAGGTAAATGTACACATTTACCTATGAATTATCTTCATTTAATTCATAGGTAGAAGGGGGAGAAGGTACAGAAAATAAGTAGCATAGACAGTAGATAGAAAATAGATAGGGGGAGGGTAAGAATAGTAGGGAAAATACAGAATCTAAAGAATTTGAGACATGTGTTCATGAACTAAAGGGGGAA